AGAGGACAGTGCTATGATGTGGAAATACAGCAATGAAAAGAGGAAATATAAATGGTTAACCAGGGACATGGAAATTCAATGTAATTGGATAAAGAGAAGTGCAAATGCATTGGCTGATGGTCTAGCTAGGCAAGGGGTAAATAGAGGCACATTATTCTGGGCTGTTTTGTAATCACTACAAGATCAGAAAGTTCTTGGGTAACTGGAGTTAAACCCTTTTAGCTCCATCCTGTAGTAATCTTGTTTTATCATTAATAAAATTTCACTGTTACTGATAAAAAAAAATGGTGATGTAGACACTTCATTTGTAGTGTAAAAATCAACTTGCTAATTTGTTCATTAAATCTTTGCGTTAGCCTTATATTGACTTCATCATTCACAAGCTGGGTTTATACGGTATATATACTCCAGCTTGAGGGGGAATCTTGAGGGAATATTTTACGACTTGTTTGCTGCCTTTATTTCTTATTCTTTCTCATGCTTGAAGTAGTATAATTATCTGTTTAGTTTCAGTACTTAAGTTGGGTTGTTTTTGGGTTTTTTGTTTTATTTTATGATTAGGGATATTTATGCAATCTTCTGCTAATTTATATCTTGATATAAATTATAACCTGGCTGATTTGGAGATTCCATTTTCTCTTTTCAATTGGCAGTTCTTTTCTTCTCTAAACCTGCTTGTATTATTCTTTCCTTTTCTAACCTAATCTGAACACCATATATAGATTTTGTACACAAGTCCTGCAACCTCCTTTCTTTATTGGGGCTTTGGTATTACTAACATATTCTATTTATGAAGTGTGCTGGTTTTTACCCCTGAATTTTAAGGTAGGGTTGTATTAAATAGGAGCTTATCTCTATCTTATTTCTTCTCTCTCTCTCTCTCTCTCTCTCTCTCTCTCTCTTTTCATTTTAAATTTCATTTTCCTGCTCCATTGTGTTTCTGAATGTTTGATGTAATCCTTGGTTGTTGAAATTGAATTACATCTGAATTAATTCCAATTGTTTTGCTTGCTGTAAATTGAGTTTCTTACCAGTCACATTCAACACAAAGAGGTTTTGGGTGTGATTGTGTATATCAGTGACAAAATGCGCCATAAACAAGTAGAAGATACTGAATTCTATGATCTAGTTGTTACCTCGTTTAACTGTAATAAATACTTAGATTTTTTTTTTGTGGCTATACAACAAGCTGCTTGTTTCTTTGCCTTTTACAGGCAATTGGCAGAGTCAGGAGCACATGTTGTTATGGCAGTAAGGAAACCTAAGGCAGCTCAGGAATTGATCCAGAAGTGGCAAAATGAGTGGTCTGGAATGGGGCTTCCTCTCAATATTGAGGTACCTACTAACTAAAAACTCCGTATCAAGCTCCTCAAGAAAAAAAATCTAAGAGATCATTGGGTTGTGGAATTTAGCATTAGCCTATTAGTTAATGTATTTATGCATGGCCTGCCAGCAGTTGGGAGTACAGGACAGTCATTCCATGTTTCATACCTGGGATTTTTTGATCAGTAACTAATCAGAAAAGCTGTTTTTTTTCTAGAAAAAAAGAGAGCACATTATAAATTTATAATATAGTAAAAAGGGGATGAAACAATTTTCTCGTAAAAGATTCACATCCTAGCACTAGGAAACCCAAAATATTTTTCTTATCAGAAAAGGTCAGCAATATAGATAAATATAAATTTTAAAATATTTTCTGAAAATAGAGTCTGCCCATTTTTGAAATATTTGAGGAGCATTACATATAGCAAATGACACCATCTCTCATTGGTACTGTCCTCTTGGAGCCATAGTTTTCAAGGTGCCAAGGTGAGGCTAGGCGACAGGGGGGCGCCTTGTCGCCTAGTTGCCTAGTCGCCTAGGCGCCCGCCTAGGCAATGGATTTTTTTAAAGTAAAACCATATATCCTGGGGTAGTTCCCTAGGTTCCATAACCATCCTTCCTTAATAATTATCCATGATTTTCATAAGAGAAGTATAAATTTCATGATTAAGTCAAGAAAATCAACATTTTATGAGAAGAAAAAAAACAAAGGAAAGAAAATTCAAGAAATATAGGGGCTGAAACCCTACTTTTGTTATAGGGAAAGAAGAAAAGAAAATGTGGAAGAAGAAAATGTGTTGATTAGACAAAATTTTAAGTTCTTCCCTTGCTTATTGGTTCAGGTTTTGAAATCTTTGAGGGTTCAATCAAGGATCACAATTTCGATACGATATGCCTTATATCGGGTGTATTGTATTGTATCTTTGGGGCCCCGATACACCTGTTTATAGGTGTTTTCGGGGACCCATTTTTTAAAATAATATATAATTGAAAAACAAAAAAAATTAAAAATAAGGGGAGTATCGTTATAAGTACCGATAAACCTCTGCCAATACATAGAGGTGTATCGATACTTTGAACCATGGGTTCAATACAGCAGTTAGCAATGTTTGTGTTGATTAAACCCTAACAAATAGGAAAATAATAAAAAGAAATTAGTATATAAACACATAAAATGAATATTTTAGTTTAATAATGTCAATTTTATAATTATAATTTCAAAAAATTAAAAATATAAAAGTATTTTATAATACAGTGCACAAAACTGCTTGGCGACTGGGTGAGGCGAGCCTCCAAGGGCGCCTTGTCGCCTAAGCATCACCTAGAGTCACCTTGACAACTATGCTTGGAGCATAGAATGCAGTCAAGGGTTTTGACTTTTCTGTGAGTTTTATAAGCCAAAATCTAAACTTATAACCTAATTTTCTGAAGTACCTGACTCCCTGAATTTGCCTAAAGAAAACTTCTTTGTTTTCTATGAAAGAGCCATCAAATTTTAATAAATTTGTTTAATTTAGTGAAGTATTCTTGCTTAATGAGTACACCTTGTAGTTGATAACTATTCTAGTCTCGTTCTCATTTTATTTCTAAACGATTTTTTTTTTCCATAAAGGCTGGAGTAGAATGTAGGCTTCTTGTTGGTTCAATTAATCCTATTTTAAAGGTTCATGGATTTAGACCTCTCAGAAAAAAGTTCTTGGGTTTAGATTTGGAAGTCATTGACATTTCTATATTATAAGGTAATGTTTCTTCTAGTTTAAAAATTGGTGTTGTTTGACAACTCCTTGTGAACGCAATTCTCCAAGTTCCAAAAGAATAGGGATCTGAACAATATCTTCAATTCTTCAGGTTTCTTTTCTACATTTTCTGTTAGTCTAATGACATGCATTCCAAGATATATGGGTGAAAATTTAACCATGAAACTACTTTCTAAAACAAATCTCCATGTATACTAGGGAAATAAAGAACTTTAGGGGGTTCTAAATTCATCTCCCAAGTGGTTCCAAAGGTTATTCCTTTTTCTGTGTGAGTTGTAATGTCAACATTGTCTCCATTTACTTATTTGATAAAAATAATTAATAATAATAATGTCAACATTGTCTTCTACATAATGAGCACAATTGTATTTGGAGCATTTGCATGGTTGTGTTTGGTCAATCTCCTCATTTAGTGCCCTTGCCAATTGTGTCTGTTTGGCATGGTTGTGTTTGGAGCATTTGCATCTCCCCTCTTTCTTGTCTTTTACCTTTGCTCAATTTATATATTCTTTCTCTTTGTAAGAATCATAAGATTATGTTTTTATCAGTAAAAAAGAAATAATACAAACCATTCATATCTTCTATATATAGGTTGTTATAAATCAATCTGGATATATTTGCATTTTTTTGGTCATGTATATACCCCTTGTTGTTACCATCAAAGTGATATTACTCCAGTCAAGCTAGTATCTGAAGGGTCACTGACATGCTTCATATTATGGCTATTTCAAGGTGATGGAACTTGATCTCCTTTCATTGGACTCTGTTGTGAGATTTGCTGAAGCATGGAATGCATGTATGGGACCTTTGCATGTTTTGATCAACAATGCAGGCATATTTTCAATTGGAGGTTAGTATAGATGATGTTGTCTCAGTTATTTGGTGTTTGGTGAGTTGGAGACCCATTTTTATGTTTCTCTTCTTATGTTTTTGAGTTGGAGACTCATTGGTTATGACTTATGAGTTGGATTTGAAATGGTATTCGGGGTGTTTTGGTGTGTGTTCTGTGTCTTAAGAGGGGGACATGTAAAGAAATTGATGAGGTGGTGACCTATTTTGATGTTTCTCATTTTTTGTTTGGTTAGTATCCATTTATGACACTATTTAAAAAACTGACTTGTTGACATGGGATGGATTTAAAGGAATTTTGGTTGATTGCCCTCTTGGGTTGATAACTTCTACTTGGTTTCTGACTTGCAAACCTGAATGAATCATGTATAGTTCTGAAATTCAATGATTTACATGATGACTTGGTTTCATATTCCATATATTGTGCTTCTTTTTGCATAAATTTATTGAAGGCCAAATATTGTTTTGTGTATCTTATTTGTCATCAGAAGAAAAACAGCCTTTTGAAATGAAAGGACTGTTCAAAATATTGCAGAGAATTGATTGATAGTAGCAAAAATTAAGTTTCAAGAAGAGAGAAGAGGAAGAAGAAGGTGGCGGCAATGGGGGTTCAGAGAGAGATTTCGAACATAATCTCCTCTTACACCCCTAATCCTATTTCATTAACTTAAACTTTAGTAATTTACAAAGAGGCCCCTAGTTGGGCAAATAATAAAAAACATAACATAAGAGAAATAAAGGCCCAAATTGAGGCCAAGAACATAAAGAGATAAAATAAGACAAACAGCCTATGGGCCATTCGGCCCATCTTCTCTACACTCCCCCTCAAGCTGAGCATAGATATCAATCATGCCAAGCTTGCCATTATCATGCTTAAATTTAACTTTGGGAATGCCCTTGGTGAGGAAATCAGCTAATTGGCCTTCAGAAGTGATGAAAGCTAGACAAAGTTCTCCAGTAGCCACTCTTTCTCGAATGAAGTGTCTATCAACTTCAATATGTTTGGTTTTGTCATGTTGCACTGGATTGTGAGCAATGTTGATGGCAGCCTGGTTGTCACAGTATAACATCAATGGCTTATCATGCTCAATACCCAGTTCCTCCATCAAGGACTGAAGCCACAACAGTTCAGAAACTCCATGAACCATGGCTTTGTATTCAGCTTCGCCTGAAGATCTGGCAACAACTCCAAGAAACAATATTACCTACCACCAAGCTACAGTACCCAGAGGTAGATCTTCTGTCATCGATATTTTTGACCCAATAATCAGCATCTGTGTAGGCTTCAAGTTTCATATGACCATGCTTAGCAAATAGAATTTCTTTCCTAGGAGAACCCTTCAAATAACATAGAATTCGTTCTGCTGCTGCCATGTGAATATCCCTGGGAGCATGCATGAACTGACTAATGCAACTAACAGCATATGCAATGTTTGGCCAAGTCATGCATAGATAGAGGAGTTTTCCAAGTAGCCTTTGGAAGACTCCCTTATCTTTCAACAATACTCCATCTGAGGCAGAGAGTTTATGACTCATATCAATAAGAGTAGCAAATGGTCTAGCACCCATCTTTCCTATTTTAGAGAGCAAGTCAAGTACATACTTTCGCTGAGAGACAATGATCCCATCCTTAGACCGAGCAACTTCTATGCCAAGAAAGTATCTCAATTCCCCTAGATCTTTGATCCCAAACTCTGTATGAAGGAAAGATTTAAGATCATTAATCCCTGATACATTATTACCAGTCACAACAATATCATCAACATACACAATCAGATATACTGCCAAAGATCCTCTCCTCTTCACAAAGAGAGTATGATCAGACTGAGTTTGTACGTAGCCAAAGTTAACAAGGGCAGCCCTAAACCTTTCAAACCATGCCCTAGGGGACTGTTTAAGTCCATAAAGAGATTTCTTCAGCTTGCAGACTTTCCCTTTCATATCTATTTCATACATCCCTAGAGGAAGAGACATATAGACCTCCTCGTGTAACTCTCCATTTAGAAATGCATTCTTTACATCCAGCTGGTAAGGTGGCCAGTCTGAGTGTGCAGCCAGAGATAGCAGAACTCTTACAGAAGTCATCTTTCAACAAGAGCAAAGGTCTCCAGATAGTCAATCCCATATGTCTGTGTCTAATTTTTTGCAACCAGCCTAGCCTTGTACCTTTCAATGGTGCCATCAACATGATATTTGATGGTAAAAACCCATTTATAGTCTACTAGTTCCTTCCCTTTAGGTAAATCAACCACATCCCAAGTGTCATTCTTGTGTAGGGCATTAATTTTTGTTCTCATAGCATCTCTCCATTCTGGAATAGCAAGAGCTTTTGACACAGACCTGGGTATTGGGTTAGAAGCAATAGAAAAAAGACAGCAAAAATATGAAGGAGAGAGCAAACTATAAGAAAGGTGTTTGGAAATGCAATGTGTAGTACACTTGCCAGAAGGAAGTATCAAAGAGTCTGTAGCCTTGATGGTTCCCTTGCTAGAGATAGAAGCAAGAGAGCCATTGGCTAGGGTGATTTTGTCATGGCCAGGGAGTAAATCATAAGAAACAAACAAGGTGGAAAGGCTGAGCATATGATCAGAAGCACTAGAATCAATAATCCAAGGGATCCTACGATTACTTGAGATAGTTGCATGATTGGCAGAAGCCCATATACCTGAATGAGCAAATGCAGAAGATGTTGAATTTCCTGGAAGGTTGGAAGAGGAGGCCACACCCTTTAGGTGACTGATCATCCTTCCAAACTTCTCGTACTTTGCCTTCATAGCTGCTAACTGCTCATTAGCAGTCTTTTCTTTAGTTAGACATCTGTCACTATCTGGACCAACAACAATATTGGCACTCCTTGCCTTCATATTATCAGGCTTCTTTTGAAAACGAAGGGGAAGAAATTCATGATGCAATTTCCAGCACTTGTCTTTTGTGTGTTTTGGTTTCTTACAGTACTCACAAATAATTTTTTTCTTCCCCGAGCCAATTGGATTTCCTGTAACTCGCTTAGGTTTCACTCCCATATTAGCAAAGTGATTATTTAGACCAGCCCTTTGAACCTGGACTAGTCTCTTGCTTTCTTCAATACTTACCAAGGCATAGGCTTGATACAATGAAACACTATCCTTGGATAAGATCTTTTGCTTTGTGATGTCATATTCTGGATTCAGCCCTATCAAAAACTCAAACACCCTGTTTCTCTCAACAAGTTTCCTATAGGTCTCGGCACCATTAGTGCTTTCCCAGGCTACAGTTTTCATCAAATCGATTTCTTGCCATAGAGATTTCAGAATTGAGAAATAAACAGCTAAAGGTTTCCCCCTGTATTAAATTCTTCACATCACTCAACTTGTATGCTTTAGCTACATTTAATTTCTGGGAATAGGTTTTTGCAACACTATCCCATATTTCCTTTGCTGAATTCATCCACAAATAATGTTGACTAATTTGAAGTTGCATTGAGTTCACTAGCCATCCGATTACAGTATAATTTTCTTGCATCCATTTTTCATAGGATGGATCATCTTCCGAGGGAGCCTTTTTGCTCCCGGAGATATAACCCCATTTGCCTCTACTGCAGATATGAATTTTTACTGATTGTGACCAAGCCAGATAATTAGTTCCATCTAGCTTGACTGTGGTCACAACCAGTAAAGAGTCAACAGAGGCTCCTGGAACCTGTTCGGATTCAGCAACATGCTTGTTTTCAACTCCTGAAGGGTCCATCTTCTAAAAATACTTCAAATATAACTTCTAATAATTTCGAATAACAATCAATGAAGATAGAAGAAAAACTGTGTTGTGAATTAACCTCTATGCAACCGTACCTGCTAATTGCGTCACACTTGGAACTCGGGAGAAACTGAGAAAACTCAGCCGCACCTTGTAGGCTTCACAGAACACCAATCAACTTGAGTCGATCTTCAAGATGAAGAATAAGAAGTTTTTCAGTCACTGAGCGCCCAAGTCAAACTCCCTGTGGGGCTCGCAATCAAATCTCTCCAGAAAATTATGGTTTCGGGCAACACACTTGAAACTGTCAGGAGGACGACAAAGACAATCTCCTCTCCAGAAACCACTAACACCTAGGCTGAAACAGCTTTCTTTAACTATTCATCCGATTCAGTTTTCCATACACACTGTGTATGGGAAAAAAGAGGTGAAAAAGAGAAGAAGAAGAGCCTGCTTTGATACCAAGAAGACAAACAACATTTTGAAATGAAAGGACTGTTCAAAATATTGCAGAGAATTGATTGAGAGTAGCAGAAATCAAGTTTCAAGAAGAGAGAAGAGGAAGAATAAGGTGGCGGCAATGAGGGTTCAGAGAGAGATTTTGAACATAATCTCCTCTTACACCCCTAATCCTATTTCATTAACTTGAACTTTAGTAATTTACAGAGAGGCCCCTAGTTGGGCAGATAATAAAAAACATAACATAAGAGAAATAAAGGCCCAAATTGAGGCCCATTACAGCAAAGAACATAAAGAGATAAAATAAGACAAGCAGCCTATGGGCCATTCAGCCCATCTTCTCTACATCATCATCATCCAAGTCTTGTCCCAATTATATGCAATTGACTATATGAATCTTGTTCCAGCCTTTTGGTCTGTTCAGTGCCATATTATTGTTAAATGATCCCTTAAATCATTTCCTACTATTTCAATTCATGTTCTTTTTGGTCTGCCCCTAGCTATATAATGGTAATTAAGAAAATCAATGATGCAAGAGGGATAACAGGAAAACTGAAGTAGCAAGGTTTGCCAGAAAGTCCTATAGCTGAAAAAGAAGAAGAGATGGCAAAATCAATCATTGCTTGAACCTATTGTTCAGAAAGACCATTAGATGCCTGAAAGGTTTTCCCTGAAAAGGTTGTGGTAGTTCCAGAACATGTCAGTATGGATGTGTCTCATCTATAGTGGCCTGATATGCTTTATAACCTTTCCTCCCATGAGATGATTTGGCTCTATGCTTATTTACCACATGCTCCTGTTTCTTGCAAT